AAACTGAAATCTTTCTTTGTTGCGGTCAAACTCCAGATCCTGATTTTTCTGAAGGCTATCAGACCTGCGTGAAGAACAACAAGTGAAAGGAAGCCGTGAATAAAACATCTATGAACTGACACACGGTGGGAGAAAGGCGAGAGATCTTACTTCCTGTTGAAGTCCACTTGGATGGAATGATCAATGACGAGGTCGGCGGGACAAACTGGATTAATCTTTTCTGGGTCGCCACCGAGTTTCATCACTGCATCACGCATGGCAGCGAAGTCGACCACGGCAGGAACACCGCTGCATGACACAGCACAGGCTGATCAGGGACCGCTCAGACTGTGATATCACCTTTTTAAATGTACACTAAACATCACTCATAAGACCCCAAAGCATGTGTTTGGAGTCTGTGTTAAAGTAGAAACCTGTTGCTTACACAGGGAATAACTTTGTTGTTTTTAAAGTACAGACTGCTTTTAGCAGATGCTGCTACAAGACACTGACACTCAAAGAGGAAAAGACATACGTGAAGTCCTGGAGGATGACCCGCGCCGGCCTGAACGGCACCTCCACAGTTTGGAACTGCGTCTGCTTCCAGTTCAGGATGCTTTCCACATCCGAGCGCTTCACTAGAAACTCATCACAGTTCCTGACAGCAGATTCCAGGAGGACCCGGATGGAGAATGGCAGACGGTCTGAGGAGCGCATGTGCAAGTGAATACTTCTCGGTTGTGTGCACCAACAAGATGCTTCACGTTAGCATTCAGTGTAGATGTGCTCCTACCATATCTGGGATCTCCAAGCTTGGATAGATTGAAAAACTGCTGCTTTGGGTCTTTGGGGTCCAGAGGCTCAACTATGTGCTCAAAAGGATTTTTCACAGCTGCCGACATCTTTTCCTAAAAGAAGATCAAAAGCCTGACTTCCATGATGCAGAATAAAGAAGCGTGGATAACTTGCATGGAAAAACAGCCCCTTTACCATCTATTTTTCAAGTACCTCTCAAATATGTCAGACTGACAGGAAGGCAGAGCCTCGGGCCGTTACTAGTCTCGTTCCCTAACGGGAGGTGGATTTGCTTGGATTTCAGGGTTAGTGGTGGAGGGTCGTTGACCTCGTTCTACGAACATTGCATAACTCAATTTCTTTAACAATATGTGACACTAACTGTGTGTCAGTGACTTGCAGCTCAAACACACATTATGTGAAATTCATGTTCTGGGGCCTCTCAGAAAGAGGCGTTATCTGTGTGAAAGGTGAATGCCTGCACACCTTACACCACAGACTTGGCTGGTTAGCTGAAGTTCAGGCTAAACCTCTGCTGTCAAGTGCAAAGTCAAACTGCCACGACAGTGACAAAGACAGCTTTACCTCTAATGGTTTAGTCTCGTGTAACAGCCTGTGTAACAACTACTGTCACTCCTGCCGATATAAAACGCGACGCTGACTTTTAGGTCACATTTGTAGCCTCGGTTTATGCCATTTTTAGCAGAAAGGTCCCAGTTTCAATCAGAAAGTTTTACCCTTGAAGCCTGATTAAAGTACAGCTTTGTCTCCACATCAGTCACGTTGATATATTATCAGTAAAAACGTGTGAAGAAAACCTGACCTGCTAACTATCACGGTTAACTGCACCCATTTAGGACCAAAACCTGCTAATGTTGATGCTACGTGTTCAGTTAGCATAGCTCATGGGTCAAAGTTCAGCATTTATGAAGACAGGTATCAGACTTTTATTCAAAGATAAAAAATTGAATACTAAAACGAAGGAAAGAAGCATTATTATTATTAGCTAATAATTCAGACATGATATCTTATTAGCGTGAGTTGGTATAAATGTGACAGTTGGATAAATTAGCTTTCGTAGCGACATAACGAGAATTTCAGTTCAGACTTTCTTCTGGAGAATCGTTAATAAGCCAAGAAACTGAACGTGGTCGGATGGTTATTGCTTACTTTAGATGCAGTGTTGAAGTATCACCAGATCACAGCAGAGTTAGGTCACAACCAGCTAGTCGCCACAAAACCTGCTGCTTGTTCCGCCCAGGCTCCGCCTCCACTGGGGACACTTCCGGTTAGGTTTTTTCAGAATAAAAGCTGAACCCACGCCGGGCTTTGCAGCTTCATATCCACGTATATCTGACAACTATGGAAAGGAGCTGGAACGGGAAATGGATTATTTATTTATAAATTTCTTTATTTTCGGTGGCATAATACAAAACAATTGTTTGGCATTTATTTATATTTTATCTTGTATTTTAAGAGGGAGAGAAATGCTGAGTATGACAGAAAGACCACTAGAACCACAGTCAAGCATGGACTGTTATGCTTTGGAGCTACTGAGGGTACAGGATGACTTCACCACATTGAGGGCCAGACGGGTCTTGCACCATAAAATCTTGGATGTGGACCTTCCTTCAGCCAGAACACTAAAGATGGGTCGTGGGCTTCCAGCATACCGCTGAGTGAAAACACACTGCCAAGGCAACAAAGCCGTGACTAAAGAAGGAGAACATTAAGGGCATGGAGTGGACTAGCCAGTCTCTAAACTTCAGTCCCATAGAAAATCAGTGGAAGCTTAAAAAAACAAACTAGGTGATTAAGAGAATATCACGAAGTCTGGGCATTTAGTTAGTATTAGGCAAGAAGTTAACCAATGCTTTTAAAAACTATCATGAGCAAACCAACATGAACCAAAAATGGGGAACAGCAAACCTAACGCAATAATGTATTTGTTATATTGTACACATTCATAAAGAGAATAATGACCAGCGTGTTTCACTGCAGCCAGGGAACATAAGATAAGATAAGAACACCTTTATTAGTCCCACAGGTGGGAAATTTGTTTTGTTACAGCAAAAGTGCAAAGTTATGTAGCAGAAATTAGAAAACACTGGAATGCAATAAAATAAAATAAAATACTGTATACAATAGAATACAAATGCTATATACAACTGAGTAAGAAAATACAAAAGTACAGCTTTGTCAGAAAGAGAATTGCACATATAGCAGTCTTATTGCACATGTGTAGATGTGTGTGTTTGATCAGTTAAAGTCTTTGTTGTGGAGTCTGACAGCAGTGGGGAGGAAAGACCTGCGAAATCTCTCCGTCCCACACTGTGGGTGCCGCAGCCACTGAAGGAGCTGCTCAGTGCTGTCAGAGTGTCCTGCATAGGGTGGGAGATGTTGTCCAACAGGGATGACAGCTTAGCCAAAATTCACCTGAGAGTTCGTCCGACTGGCCAAAGCAGGCCGTCCTACCTGAGAGTATAACTCACAGTGGTGAGTGTGAGATTTACAGTCAGTGATGAACCTCAGAGAAGGATACACAGAATCAAGCGCTCGAAGACACTGAGCAGAAGTATTCATATGTAGAATATCTCCATAATCCAGCACAGATAAAATACAATACAAATACAATGTAGCGTTGTGCAGACTGTATAGTAAAAGATTAGCTGCTTTTATCAAAATGACCAGTAGATGGTGCTGCAGCAGCAGCTATGTTCTTACATGTGTCGTTGCTTTACATCTTGATCGATATACTAACTGCAGCACGTATTTCACAAAGGTCAGATGACAGTCGTGTGTGGCTCGTGTTAAGCTAACACATCTTTATAGTTAGTAGTTGCAGAACTACTTACTTATGCTGGTTGTGTTTTACACAGTAGCATACTGCAAGTACAGCTTTGCTTGCAAAGAGTGTATTCCAGGACTGGCTCTGTGTGGACCTGCTGGTTGAGATATAATATGAAATGGATTGGTGCTTGTATACAATCTAAGGAGCTTTAAAAGAAGAGTGTCTGGACTTCTTTAAGACGTTTCACTTCTCATCTGACAAGCTTCTTCAGTTCTAAGTGCAATTGTTGCAGAGTCCCAGATTTGAAGCTCTATGGGAGAGTCCTATGGGACTGCTTATACATGAGCAACTACAATGCTCAATAGGGCATGGATGCAGCTACTGGAACACTGTAGAAGGAAACAGTCATCCTCAGTCAACTTTCCTGATGAGTATTTTACCAAGATGACAACAGGGCAAACATTCATCTCAAGGTTTCAAAATGAGACTTTACAAACCACATTTGACCTTTTACTTTTCCATCCATACAAACATCTTCCATTTATCTGCAGCTGGATCTGAGGGGCAGAAACCTAAGCAGAGTAACACAGACCTGCCACACCACAGCCAGCTCCTCCAGTTTATCTGGGCAAACACTGTATCGTTTCCAGATGGATGAAGAAATCATACAGATTCCTTTATTCAGTACATCAGGATCAGCGCATCCACATAACTGTCAACTGCTAAGCTAGCACACGCAAATACAGCCGGCGTACCTGTGTACTTCCGCTGGTTTCAAAATAAGAGTTCACACATTACATACTCCAGTGTGACCTGGAGGTCACCTGATGAACAGGGGCGGATCTAGAGAAATTTTCTTAGGGTGGCATGAGGGTGGCAAAATCAAAGCCTTTTCCCCCCCCAAACACATATGCAGGTGGTTACATATGGTTAAAATGATTCAAATGCAGTAAGTATACACGTTTTTCATATAAATATAGTC